TTTTCATACTATCTTATTAAAATAATAATACATTATATGTGCATTACATGATAAAGGCCATCAGAAACTTGCTGAATTATGAATAACAAATAATAATTAAGATAATTCCTTCTCTAAAATGACTCTTTGATCTTAGTGATCTTGAACTTTAAACTAACTTCTTCAATTATCTACCCTATTCAGTTAATTACCCAGACTTTCTTCAGATAGGTGAAGAAACGGACCTTAAAAAAGCTAGTTTTTACAGGTATACGATAAATTACATGAAATGTAGACAATTACCTTAATCGGAGTGTACCACTTTGTCTGAGGAGTCTGGTGTGTGTCTTTGGGCCTTGGAGGTTTAGGCCTGACAGGTATTTCAGCTTCTTCAGGAATTGTTACCACAGCATTTTTGGCTTTTTCTAGTCTTGCACCTTCCTCCGTTGATCCTTTATCACCCCACCGAACCTTTAAAATAAAAGGGAAATATAGGTATCAGACATACAATGTCCTAAAAAAACAGGAGTTCTTCTTTAGTCTGTTGTCTTTCGGTCTACTATCTTGGAGCGAAAAGAATTGACTAGATTTCTAAAATATAAAACAAAAATCAACTGACATAGAGCAGATTATGACTTGAGGCAACTACATGTGTTTTAGAGAACTGTGAGTGCTCTGTAGGGGTTTTGGTCGCTGAATGTAGGTCAGGAGGCCTTTTTTTATGATGTGTTTCTTGGTGGGCTCAAAAAAGGCAACTTTCAGGTTGATGGTCAGGGTCTTAAACAGTTGAATAGCTCTGATGACTTAGTGGTAAGACATTGAGTTGCCAACCCCAAAATCACATGGTTTGAGTCCACCAGGTGCTCTGCATAGGAAAAAGGGGCAAACTTTTCCTCTCCCATGAGATTTATTGTCTCTGGTAATTCGCTGGAGGGTCAGCTATGAGTTGGTTCCAACACAATACCATCAACTATAACCTCAGAGTAAGTATACTGATTTCAGTAATTTTTCTTCTTCTGATAATTAATATTTCTCACAGTTCAGATATATTGTTCATAGAGTTGTTATGGGTCACACTTTACGCAATGGCATCTAATAACACTACACTTTATGTGTGAAGCATTGAGTTCCTAGGAAAGTTGTTCTTCATCATCAATACCTGGAATCAAATGTGAAGCACATATTTCTCCAATGTCAACTGAGAAGCAAGTGATAGATTCAAAATGCCTGTCTTTGTGTTGGCAGCACAACTCCTTATCACTAATCCACCAGAGATGCTCACTACCTAAAACACTACCCAATTCTTTTGTCCAGTAAGAAACACTAAGGTGTGAGTTAAGAGTTATAAATGTTACCTACAA